CCATGCAAGATTTTACAGTGTAATCCATCATATGAACTCTGTATGATATTGACTATCTTCTGAGGCACGCCGTAGTGTCGAAGAAGCTGTCATAGTGTTTCCTGTCCGCGCTTTCAAATGCTTTCTCGTAGTCATTGAAGTTGATGTAGAGTGATGAATTCCATTCAATTGATTGTTCCACAATGATCCGTAGAGTTGCGATTTGGTCTGTACACGATCTATCCTTACGGAATCCTGCTTGTTGGTCACGAAGTTGGGCGTCTATGCAGTCCTTCATCCTGTTTAGCAATACTCTATTGAAGACTTTTCCCGGTATTGAAAGAAGAGTGATGCCCCTGTAGTTATCACACTTGCTGAGATCGCCTTTCTTCGGTATTTTGATCAGAAGTCCTTCTTTCCAGTCTTTTGGTACTTGTTCCTCATCCCAAATCTTATTAAAGAGAATGTGGTGTATCCTTGCAGTTGCCGCTACGTCTGCTTTTAGTGCCTCTGCTGGAATGTTGTCTGGTCTTGCTGCTTTGCCACTCTATATTTGTCTGATGGCCATGCTGATTTCTTCAATTGTTGGTGGGCCAACGTTGATTGGGAGGTCCATGAGTGCTGCTTCGATGTTGGGTGGGTTCAGTGGAGCTGGTCGATTCAAGAGTTCTTTGAAGTGTTATACCCACCTTTTTCGCTGTTCTTCGATGTTGCTGATTACTTTACCCTCTTTTCTTTCCACTGGTCGTTCTGGTTTACGGTAATTACCAGAGAGTTTCTTTGTCGTGCCATACAATTGTCTCATGTTCCCTTCTCTTGCAGGCTTTTCCGCCGTCTTTGCTAGATCTTCCACATATTTACGTTTGTCGGTTCTGATGCTCCTCTTCACTTGTTTGTTTTCTACTGTGTATTCAGCTTGTGCCTTGGCTTTCTCTGCTCTTGTTCGACCGGTATTGATTGCTGCCTTCTTGTTTCTCCTTTCTTGAATCTTATCCAGTGTATCAACAGTGATCCATTCCTTGTAATGGTGCTTCTTGTGACCCAAGACCTCATGGCATGTTGAAGTGATTGCCTCTTTGATCCCCTTTCACAGTAGTTCCTTCTCCACTGAGTAGATCGTGAAAGGCCTGGAACCTATTACTGAGGGCTATCTTGAATTCATTGAGTTTGTCAGTATCCCGAAGAAAGGCCGTATTAAAAATTTGTGCTATGTCCTCCCCATTGTCCGGTGCTTCTTGAGTTTCAATTTCATCTTGGCGACCAGCAAGTGATGATCTGATGCTATATCAGCTCCTCTCTTGGTTCTCACGTCCTCTATAGTCCTCCTGAACGTTTTGTTGATGCAAATATGGTCGATTTGGTTTTGCGTGGTGTGATCCGGTGAAGTCCATGTGGTTTTGTGTATGTGTTTATGTGGAAATATGGTGCCGCCTATGACCAGTTTATTGAAGGCACATAGGTTTGCAAATCTCTCACCATTTTCGTTTCTTTCTCCCAGTCCATGTCGTCCCATGATGTCTTCATATCCAGTGTTGTCCTTTCCAACCTTGGCGTTGAAATCTCCCATCAGAATGGTCAGGTCCTTTGTTTGGCACTTCTCGACGATGGACTGCAGCCTATTGTAGAATTGATCTTTACCGTCTTCATTGTAGTCGTTGGTAGGCGCATAGCATTGGATGATATTCATTGTAATGCCCTCCTTTTTTGTTTTGAACGAGGCTTTGATGATCCTTGGTCCATGAGATTCCTATCCTATAAGCGCATTTCGCGCTCGTTTGGACAGCATCAATGCAACTCCTTGTGTATGTGGGGCATTTTCTTCTTCATGGCCGGAGTATAACAGAAGCTTTCCTGAAGTTAGTCGTTGTTGTCCAACTTGCGTCCAATGTGTTTCACTGATCCCAAGTACCTCTAGGTTGTATCTTCTCATTTCTGCAGCAATTTGGAAGGCTTTTTCGGTGTCCCACATTGTACGAACATTCCATGTACCTAAATTAATGGTTGCTCTGGTTGTCAGAAAAGGCATCGGCCTTCTAACTTCCGAAGGAAATCGGCTTTCATCATGAGGCGTCATAGTTCTTCTAAATGAAGACCTTCTGACTCCCAGGGCAGAGTTTAAAAGGTTTGAATAATTTTTCCTCGTTAGCGTTTTTTAGCGAGTTAGTTTTCTACGGGATGGGGACGCTAACCCCATGCCCAACCCTTCTCTTTTATCCGGGCTTGGGACCGGCAGTAGCCCTCAGAGGGACTCCAGGCGGAGTTCGTCGTGTCACATAGCTGTCTCATATTCTCTTCTCTTGAAGCTTTTTCCGCTGTCGTTGCTAGCTCTTCAACATATTTCTGCTTGTTGGCTATAATGCTTCTCTTCACTTGCTTGTTTGCTTCTGTATATCCAGCTTGTGCCTTGACTTCGCTCTTTTTCGGCTGTTGTTAACTGTTATCTTTTTGTTTTTCCTTTATTGAATCTTGTCCATGGCTTCCATAGAGATCCATTCCTTATGATGATGCTTGTTGCGGTCCAGCACCTCCTGACACGTTGAAGTTAATTCTTTGATCCCTTTCCAGTTGTCCTCCATACTAGTTTCTTCTTTCAGTATATCCTATAAAGCTTGTAATATGTTGTTGAGATTTATCTTGACTTCATTGAGTTTGTTAGTATGCCGAAGGAAGGCTGTATTGAACCTTTGTACTGCCGTTTCTCCGGTTGTGCAGTGTTTCTTTAGCTTCAGTTTCATCTTGGCCACAACCAGCTGGTGATCTGAATCTGTAACAAAATAAAAGGCAACAGTTTTTGAACTCCTTGCTTAACATGCATCTCTATCCCGGTTAAAGTTACAATACAAAATGGTTCAACGACTTGCTTCGGCTGGCTCATCAGCATAATCGATTATTTAGTAAGATCATTCCGACAACACAGCAGAATAAATCAAAATCTTAATTGCTGAAAAATTCCCATTATATTAAGAACACAATTGTATGAACGAAGAATATTCTTTTCAATAATTTCTCATCAGGTTCTACAATTATAAATCCAGATTAATAATCCATAAAATTGGCCAGATTTAAGGCAAAATACATCATTTAGAAATTGCAATATGTGAATCAGGAATTGTTTGTTATATAAAATAAAATTGTTAATGTTGGGGCTGACTAATATGAAGTGTTAACTTGAATCAGTTTATAAGCGAAATGAAATTGTGAGATAAATTATCAGAATAAATATGGTCAACATGGGGTAAGAGAGAGAGAGAGAGAGAGAGAGAGAATCAAGACTATATGCACTGTGGATACGATTGAAGATGAAACTAAGACATTGTTTACAACCCTGAAAGAAAACGGATATCCAGAGAAATTTATAAATAAAAACTTAGCCAATAAAAGATAGCGTATAGAATACCCAACGGTAAATAGAAAGCCTCTATATATACGCTTACAATTCAGAGGTGACGCGCCGAGTGAAATGTTAAGACTCAAGTTAAGTAGATCAATTCAAAGGACTTTTAACGCAGCTAAACTACGACTAGTATTTTCCACACGACCAATAATCACTCCGAGGTTGAAAGATAAATTGCCTAGACTAGCCACCTCCTTCTGTATCTATCAATTCAACTTCTCCTGTGGAGCAAGTTATATTGGCAGATGTTCTAGGAATTTGTACATTCGGGCTCGTGAGCACCTACCCGTGTGGTTAAGCAAAGGTGTTGTCAAAACTGTTAACAGCTCAATCTTAGACCATTTAGTCCAAACAGGACATACAGCCAACATCGAGCAATCTTTTGCAATAGTTTACCGTGTCAACAGCAGTCTACCTAATTCCGTCAGACTGCGAATCCTACAGACGGCTGAAGCAATTGCTATTCGGATCAAAAAGCCAGAGCTTTGTATCCAAAAGAAGTATGTTCAGCCACTCCTTTTACCCTGGCCAACTAGCTAATAATCAATCTTAAAATATGGTGACGTAATCTGATTAATGTTCATTTTATGTCCCAAACTTATTATTATTACTGTTATTATTATTATTACTGTTATTATTATTATTATTATTATTATTATTATTATTATTATTATTATTATTATTGTCTTTACACTTGATAACCCCTTTTTGATGAATTTATTCAATATCCGCCCCTGAATCTACTATATTTGACCTAATTATTTTACATATTACGCAATTTCCGATTTGTAATCGCAATTTTCTCTCTCTCTCTCTCTTACCCCATGTTGACCATATTTATTCTGATAATTTATCTCACAATTTCATTTCGCTTATAAACTGATTCAAGTTAACACTTCATATTAGTCAGCCCCAACATTAACAATTTTATTTTATATAACAAACAATTCCTAATTCACATATTACAATTTCCAAATGATGTATTTTACCTTAAATCTGGCCAATTTTATGGATTATTAATCTGGATTTATAATTGTAGAACCTGATGAGAAATTATTGAAAAGAATATTCTTCGTTCATACAATTGTGTTCTAAATCAAAATCTAGCATAGAAAATGTTCTAATTCACTGAGCACTCGTCTAAAATTATTATTCTTGATTTGATCGCCTTCTGATATATCTATTTTAGCAAATATGAGTCTACAGTACTTAAATTATTTAACCAACGATTTATATTGTTCTTGATATCCCCAGTCCACAGACTACAGTTCTACGCAAATGTATTAAATGTTTAACGTTTCATTGCATTACTCTACAAGTTTACTAATAAAGTGTTGTACGCATCTTTGCAACATGTAAATAGTTCTCAGCAAAATGGCAAAAATTGTTTCACTTAAGCGCCCTAACTAAGCCATTTAAGCAGTAACGGACTCTAGTCTGTATTACATCGAGTGTAATAATTGGTCAAATAAATGTAGCTTCGCTGTTTACTGACACGCAAAACAGTACTCGTATGACATCCAAACGGGGAAAGCACATTTTCCAAGGATTGATGGTTAAGATTTATTTAATTGTTTCGATGAGACTTCAGTAATATTTATCACAATGCAATTTTTTCATATATCAGCCTTCAGGAAATCCGAAAAGTATGAATATTACGTTGGACTCTTTAGCAGGAAATCAAAATATCACCCAAATAGATCTAAGGCCGAAACCACCTGTCTATGTATCACGTTATGTGCAGACAATGTATCGTGATTCAGAGGCGCAAACTGACCCATATTCTCCATTGTATGTTGTCAATACAGGGGAAAACCCGGAGACACTGAAATTAACTTCGTTGAGTTATGGATATGGACTTCCAGTCGGATTATTTGATGTTGAAAGAATTGAACGTGCAAGACAAAGACGAGAAATTGAAGCAAATTTACCGCCGTATAAAGATATTGCAAATAATCTGGTACAAATCGCCAAACGATGTAAAATTTTGGAAGGTTTAGAAAATCGTGAATGGTACTTCAGAGAAAGAGAGGTTGAAGCGTAAGTCAGATAATTTATTATTTCTAAGCTTTTCCAGTCATGTAATTTATGGACGAAGAATTCACTTTAAAAAGCAATTTTCGTTCCTGATAAATAGAATTAAGGAAACAATGAAACTAGAAATTTGTAAAAGTTTGTTATACCGTTGTCCTGTACTCATCAAGAGCCCTAAAACGTAGGCGTGGTTTAAATCTCAGTTTATCCAACTTGGTCCTTGAGTCTGATTAGTTTTTACTTTCTTCAAATTGATTGAAGCTGAAACTCTGGTCACATATTTAGTACTTGGTACGAGGCATAAAGGTCTTGGCTTGAGTTGCCGTTAAGGCTGTAGATATTCATTATTGAACGCGCCCAAACTAGTAAAGGTGCCACAGATATTCAGAGCTTGACAACGCCTTTACACATGACACCGTCCCAATTGAAGTATGCCAACCCAGTCAAATCAGAAATCAGAAATGAAGGTCAACCAGTCAGTCAACAATAACGTAGAACTCCGTACGTACATACGTCAATTTAAGTTGCCATACCACATTAGCAAAAAGATATAATTGTCTATTCAAATCACATAGTGGTAGAGCTAGTAAAAGTATAAGCAGTAATCGGAAAGATTAGGATTTGAAAATGTTGTTCAAGGAGTATAATCCAGTGAAAAAATCGGAAAGAGAAAAGGGGGAGGGAGATGAAAAGTTCAGACAATTAGAATTTGCGAGAACACAAAAGTGGGTGCACCTGCAATTTTGCAAACGATTTTGAGTCATTTCATTCAAGGTCTCTGACCGTCGGTTGCTATAATCTTACGGATCCCAACCACGTAGTCTTCACTTACCGACACGGCTCAGTCCACTTGTCAATGACGTCATGGATTTGTGCCATGTTTCGGTCTGGCCACCCCTAGCTTTCTTCCAACCCACTCGTACACCATAAAACATCGCTCGTCCGGGCAGTCGGTCGTTGGGCATACGTAACACATGTCCCAGCCATCTCAACTGATGAAGTTTCACTACTTCAATTGATTTGCCATCCCTACCTAGCATCCGTTTCCTAACAACTGCATTACTTAATTGGTGGTCCCAGGATGTATGAGCAATGCTTTGAAGACATCCATGATCGAATACTAGTAACCTACCAATATCCTCAACTCTTACCGGCCATGTTTCACTGCCATAAAGTAGGACGGGACGTACTGCTGCGCAGTAAACCTGTCCTTTGGTTGGTAGACGGATATCTCGCCTACACAATAAATGACTCAAGTTGGCGAAAGCCAGTCAAGCCTTCTGTATCCGTGCTGAGGTTTCGTCACACACTAGACCACAAGGGCGGACGGGACTCCCAAGATAAGTGAAGCGGTCGATACACTCAACTACATCACTCCCCATCATTAGTCCAGGTGCCTATGCAACCCAACCCTGAAGTGACATGTTGCATTTCGAGGGGAGAATCGCCTTCCGAACATGCTTGCATTGTTGCTTAGAGTGGTCAGAAAACTGCATTTTGTCAGCGTCTTCACCAAATAGAACTCTATCAGTGGCATCTTCTAAGTCAACAAGTGAATCGCCCAGTAAATGTTTATCTCCTGGAAATTTAGATGGGGAAAGTATTATCTCTAAAAGCACGTCAACAACAAAGTTAAGCAAAAATGGAGGGAGTGGACAGCCCTGAAGAACACCACTCTAGGTAATCAATTCTGATGACAGTTCGCTATAAGCTCTCACTCGACCAGTTGTATAGGGAGAGAGAGCCTATATAAGGTTAATGTATTTCCTTGGTACTCCTTTCAGTGACAAACACTGCCATAGATCCTCACTATCAACAGAGTCGAATGCCGCCTTAAGGTCGAGAAATACTACTATTGTGGGACGTCTGAATGTGTGTCTATGTTCTAGGGCCTGACGTAGTGCGAATATCTGGTCTACACAGCTACATCCAGGTCGAAAACCAGCCTGGTTTTCTCTAGTCTGCTCTTAAAGAGCTTTAGTTAGGCGTCGAAACATTATTGAAGCTGATATTTCAGACAATATTATTAGTCAAACTGATTCCTCTGTGATTGTAACAAGAGGATTGGAACAATCAGTAGTTGAGACCAGTCAGATGGGATTACATCCAGTTCCCAGATTCTGCCTAAGACTTCAGTCAATCTCGCTGCTAATACTGGACCGCCATGCTTAAAAATCTCAAGGGTAAACCTGTCGGAACCTGTTGCTCTCGCACGCTTCAGCTTTCCTATAGCTTTTTGGACCTTGTCAAGAGTTGTAGGACTTACATCAACTTGTCATTCAGGTCGACTGGAGATCGTGGGAAACTGAAGTGTGGTTGAAGGCCAGTTGAACTGATTCCTAAAGTGTTCTGCCCATCGACCTAATCTCCTCAATTGAGAATGAACAATATATCCTTCTTTTTCTGAAATAGTTTCGCTAACAGTCGGGTTCTTAATATCGGTTTCTTTGGAAATTCTGAACAGTTGTCTGCTGTTACCTATTGCCTCTGCCTTTTCCATCTCTCTTGCTTTCTCTACCCACCACTGTTCACGGTGATTGCGTAGGCTTCTTATCAGCCTGCTCTTAAGCTGACTCCGCTCTTCGTCATGTTTGGAGCCAGATGGGATGAGTTTTCGAGCATCTATCACTGCGGTGGATGCTGCTCAGACCCAGTATTTCTCCTTAACCTTATGGTTTACTGTACTAGCAGATATCACTGCTGTTTCCGCAGCTTTTCGGATATCATTCCACGCTGCCTCGGGGTGGACATCACTTACATGTCTGCCTAACTGTTTTTCTAGTTGTTCATGAAATATATTCTTAGCTTGGCTATCATTGAGTAGAACCCTAAGAGGTTTCCTTGAATCGTCTTCCCTACGTCCAGTAAGACGCAGACAGATACGCGCTTGCATTAGAGCATGATCTGAATCTAAGCATGTGCTCCGGAACGAGCTACAGTCTTCTATCAAGCCCCTCCATCGGTGGCTGACAGTCATGTGATCTATTTGGGTCCAACGTTGGGACGAGTTCGGGGGTCGCCATGTCAAAGTATGTTTTTCCTTATGCTCAAAGTTAGTATTTGCTAGAAACAGGCGGTTATTTGAGCATAGCTGCATTAGACGATCGCGATTATCTGTTCTTTGAGCCACGACACCATAAGATCCACTCAGCTGTCCTTGTTTTTCGCTTAGTTTATCTAAGTGTACATTGAAGTCACCAACCACCATTACTACATCAGAGCACCTAACGTTTTGAAGGTCAGAAAACTTTCTGTAAAACTCATGTTTCACCTCATCTGAGCTGGAGTCAGTGGGAGAGTAGACAGAGAGGACGGAGAGGCAACAACGAGTGTCCTTATCTTTCCGAGTCCTTACTGTTTCGTTTAGTTGGATAGCACGCAAGCAACTGTCTACTGGGATCCAGTCTAAGAGAGTTAGTTCTGCCCTAGGATTCAATGCTAGGGGGTTCGAAGGTATATTTGAAAGGGCTATCGATACTTCGGGAAGTGCTTGAACTAAGCTGGCTAGTAGTTGCAAGCGACGCGCAGCACAATACATTCAGTGCGGATGCGTGAGCAAGTGCCTTCATTCAAGTGTGCCAAGTCAAAATAATGAGATCAGCATTATTGCCGAAGACTTACATAACAATTTGTCGCTACACTAGTAAGGAGCGTTGTTCGTTTCTCTGCATTTTCCAACGGTTCTACATTTGACACCAGCTTTCAACAATCCTTTCTAGTTGCTATTCATCCTTTTCATGTCTGCTTTCAATTCTCCTTGCAGCTTTCCTTTGACCTTCCTCTATGAAGGATTAATGCATTCTAATCACATCAATATAACGTTGATGAATTTAAATAAAATGATTTACTTGATGCAAAAGATGACTGAAATCTTCTTGTTTTGTTAAAATTGTTAATTTTTCACGTTTTTTTTGAGCTTGTTCATCTTCTAACAGAGCATGCGTTGACCTTGACTCAACAATTAATTCACTACGTTTTCGTTTACCCTCATACATTTGAGTCTGAATTGCACGCCCGCGAATTAATTGTTGCAACATAATTACAGCTACTTCTTGTCTTTCAGATTCTTCCTGAATTCAACAAATAAACAGTTGAATTAGTCTTAAAATAAAATAATTACAATATATATCGAAAATGATTCTTTCAAAATTACAGGTAATTGAAATTAGAATCACAAGTTAATTGAACTTTAAAAAGTTGGAACACTAGATGTTGAATATTTTGAAAAGTTACATTAAAACCTGACTTCTGTAAACAGATTCAGCGACTCAACTGCATCATATTATCCATAAGATCTAACTCTACATGATTGAATCTCGTGAAAGGGTTAAAATTCTGCGCTATAACAGAGCAAGCGTCAAGCTTTTTCATGATTTCCAGTATTTATACATCTGAGATAGGAACACTGTGCGAATTAGCGTTAAAACATTAACTTTTCGCATATTTTTATATACATACTTTACCTGTGTTTGTTACACTTCAAGCATGAATATAAGTCGCCCAACAACATTCTTCATTGAACTCTGTCCAGGACAATACTTTTCAGTTGTTTCCAGTTGCTATTCATCCTTTTCATGTCTCTTTCCAATTTTCCGTGCAGCTTTTCTTTGGCCTTCCTCTTTTCCGTTTCCCTTCAGGATTCGAAGTTAGCGCTTGCTTCGCGATCCAGTTTGGTGACTTCTACAATGTATAACCTATCCACTTTCAGTGTGTTTTCTTGATTTCCTCTTCAACTGGAATCTGTTTTTTTCTTTCTCACAGTAGGTCGTTGCTGATGGTATCCAGCCAACGGACATTGACTAACTTGCGTAGACAAGTGATTATAAGTACTTGTGCTTTTTTGATGCTGGCTGTAGTAGTTCTCCAAGTTTCAGCTTCGTTTAGTCGGACTGTCTTGACGTTCGTATCGAAGATTCTGACTTTGATATTGGCTGACAGTTGTCTTGAGTCCTACATGTTCTTCAATTATAGGGATGCGCCCGTTGCTTTGTCAATCCTTGCCTTTA